CACCTGCCCGGCGCCCGCGGCGGGAGGGCCGGAGGTTCTCGCGGGCAGTCCGGCGCCCGCTGCACTCAGCCGGCAGAGCGGAGGCGAGTTAGGGAACTCCGGTGCCGGTTAGGCCCACTCCTCGCTCCAGAGCAGGCTCCGCGTACGCGAGGGTCTTTCACTGCCGCGGGAGGCTTGCAGTACCGATCAGGTCCGCCTCCCGCCCCTTTCTCCTCCCCTGGCCTGGAGCAACCTTGGGATTTTCTGCCGGGAGGGAGGCCACGGCTGATTCACCCCAGGGGCTTTTGGGGGGACCTTCCTGCTGTTGGGAGGCCTCCTCTTCGAATGGGCTGTAGGCGGGGGCTCTTCCCAGTGGGGGGCCCAGGGGTTCTGCTCTGAAAACGCAGCTCTGGGCTGCAGGGACGGAGTGGGGGAGGGGAGGAAGGAGTCTCCCCCTTGGGACAGGCTGGCCTTTTCCCTCTCCCCAGCCTTCTGAACAGCCGTTGGTTCCTACATCGCACAGACTTTGGGTGCCCAGGCCTAGACCCACAGCCGTGTGTAATACAGGTGCGTCTCCATCACAGCCTTACAAATGCGTTTCGGCCCCTTCAGCCTAAGTGCAGTGTGTGCAGTGGCGTTAACGTGCGTGTGTCTGTGAGCTGTCTGTCCGGGGGCGAGTCGTCGGGCTTTCTGTGTGGGCACGGCAGTGCATAACTTACGTGTGTGAAGGCACGAGTGTTTGTGCGTGCAGGGTGCAGGTCCAGACACCGGTGAGCACCTCTGCGTGTGCATGTGTGTGCGAGTCCGACTGCATGGACGGAGGTGTGTGTGCAGGTTCGAATGTCTGCACGGAGATGGATGTCTGTGTGTCTGGCTGCAGTGCGCGTTCTCTGCATGGGCGCTGCTGCTGCTCTCCAGCCCTAGGGCTCGGGCAGTTAAAGACCCTCCTCCCGCCCTGCTCATGTCCCGGCCCCCCGAGGGTCTAAACCCGGCCACTCACCGGGGCAGCCGCGCTGTGTCCGGCGTGTGT